GAATCAGAAATAGTGGAAGAATTGTTTCATGATATGCTTAATGTGCGAAGAGGAAAATGCCTTCTAGGGAAACGCAGTGCCGACATCCTGGACGTCACAGGGACAGCCCACACTACGCTATCCTTAATAATGTAGACGGACCGAGATACCACCATTCGGACTGCCCAGGTCGAGGCACCCCAGAACTCATGGCAGGTGTACTCAACTACGTCGTCAGTCACCAGTAGTCTTCGTTGCGGTTTCCGTACTGAAAAATCGCTGTCATTTGATTCGGGCATACAGATGACATTCATCGGAACTTATCAGAGCGCTAGACTAGTCGTTCCACTAGGCTATTATAATCTTAGAGAAATAGGACAAACGCACTCGGCAGTGCGTCGAATACAACTGCTAGATCCTTCGCCCATTTCTTTGGAGGAAACTGCGGAACTACATCCACATTCCCTTGGTTTGGGGTTAGGAAAATAATCAGAGATGCAAAAACGGATGCAAAGCCGCGCGCATATACCATTGTACGCTCGCAATTAAAGACACATTGGATTTCCTCTTGGGCGGACACGCGATAAAAGACGCGTGTTGGGGTTTCCCCAGAACAGACGTTTCCGACAGATGGAAGCCTCAGGTAGACGGATACTCAACTCCATGTATTTAGGGCCGAACGAACCGTTATGCTGCCGTGTGTTCTCTCTTTCTCTCTCTCTCTCTCTCTCTCTCTCTCTCTCTTTCCCCAAGTTTGCAGCACTTGTGCATCACCTAAGGCACGAATACTAGGAACGCGGCGTGTTTGGTGATAGCACTAAAACTCTAATCGCACTCGCCAACAGCCCTCCTCGGATCACATCGAATAGTGGCTGTCGATTTCCTTCGACAGCTGTCACTTTCTGGCCCGATCCTTCCAGTTTCCTTAACTCGACGCATTTTTTGTCAAACTACAGACACATTTACGACCGAGGTTTTTATTTTTTCGACGTTTTTCCCTGTTATAGGGCGTTCTAGATTAATATGTGTGTGACAAAATTTTCTCCTTGTCACCAATTCTTTGCAGGGTTAAGTGGGTACTTTCGCTCAAGGTAATTGAGGGAGAAAAGAGAGGACAGGTCATAAATAAATTATATAAAAAACAAGAATCAAATTAAACTTACAACCTATTATTATTAATAATTATTTACACTAAGCATACGCGCGCATAATACAATCTAAAATTATCGAGCAACTAACGAAGGAATAGAACAAAATAAACGGTTTAGCATCATCGCGAACAAATGTATCGCGGTCTCTCCTAACTAAACAATTATTATTAATCACGCACTTATCCTATTTACAAACTTACTTAAAAATTACGCAGAAACCTGTATTGGATGAATTGCCCGGCACGTGGGCGCCTGGACAATTCGCCGGTAGCCATTTACACTACTACGAATTAAACTCAAGCGCCAACCTTTAGATAGCCGGCACGTGAATGCCTGGCTATCTTATTCAACGCGTACCGGTCGTCGCATCACCAGAGAGAGAGCGAGAGCGTAAAGAAAAAGAAGAAATGAAGGTTTGACCTTTCCTGTTAATGTTCCTCGCAACGTAGGGAACCTCTAACGAAGCACTGCTGCAGGGAGTGTCGGTCGTCGCTGCTGGTCAGATTGCTGCCGAACGATGCTGGCCAAGATCTGCAGCCGATGTATCTGCAGGAGATGTTGGCTCTCCTTGCAGGTGAGGCTGGCTGTGGTCGCAGATAAAGCTGTTGCCGGTGGAGTTGGCTTTCTTTTCAGCTATCCCCAAAACTGCACTCTCTACACTCTCTCACGACCATACTATACTGGCCTCGCGCACGCACTTTTTCTGGCGCTCGTCCCGCCGCCGGTCAGCGACGCTCGCTCTTCTCCCTATCTGACCTATTAGTTAGGCGGCACGCAACGCGTCGCTTATCGGTCACGCGTCGCGCGCCTGCCTATCCCTGCATAGGCCTAATGCTCTCTCTCTCTCTCTTTCTTTCTCACTCTCTCCGCGCTCTTCAATTTTGTGCGCTCAATTTCGCTGGCCCGTTCTCGGCGCTGAAACAAAAAGGCCAAGTGTTAGGCGCATACTTTAATGCGCCCAACGTTGGCCACCACGCCTTGCCGAGTGAAGGAGGGAGAAACGCAGACGAGAAACCGGCACACGGCCTGCTCTCGTCACATGTGTTTCTTAGGTAGTAGTGGACGCCATTTATCATCTCACTCACGGCAACGATTAAATTTATCTCCGTAATACCACACGGGTAAGCAAGAGACTTCTTATATTTTTTTGAATCCACAGTTTTTATTGACACACTAATTACAACAATATCATTCGAAAAATACGACACTGATATATCATACAAATTGAACGTACAAGCAGAACGTACAATGTTCCTCACTTTTGACAATCACTTGAGCCGCGAGGTCTAACTAACTCTGTTCTCCGTGCCAACCCTTATAAGGCTGCGTCTCTAGGGACATGCGATGTTATCTCACCCTCAAATTCTGCTTCCCATATGGTCCGCCAAATGGTCTTAAGAAAACCCTAGCGCTCTAACCAAATCGTAACCATTGCCCTCTCCTGGAGTGGTCGGAGCGACTTGGAGAAAGCGCATGGTACCTGCGCTGCCCTGAGTCACGGCGTACGGTCGTAGATCTACTCTTTAAAAAAAAGAGCTATATCGTTAAATGAGAGAAGCTTTCGAAGACAGGTGCCGATTTCTCTTTCATTTTACATTTCTGTTGACCTCTCCGCTCAGATCCATACGTATACATTTTCTCTCACGCTTACATTTTTCGCTTACGTGTTTGAATGCGGGACGCGCACGATCGCACAGACGAAGACGGTACTAAGGATTCCCTAATTATGTTAGGACTAATATGTTACTAATTAGTAAGGGTTTCCCCGCATATTTCCCACAACTTTCCAAATTTTTCTCTACTTAACCGTATGCATGATTATTACCTGGCCATACACATTGCCCTAATGACTAAAACTTTCTCTTCTCGGAATTTGTACAAGTGTACGCAATTTCGTAACATACGAGGTGTAATCAAAAAGTAAGGTGAATTTTTATTTTTCTCAAAAAATATTTATTTATTCATCAATTTTTATTTTATCTCCTTCAAAGTAATCCCCCTCGGATACGATGCACTTGTGCCAACGCTTTTTCCAATCCTCAAAGCATTTCAAAAAATCATTTTTTGTGATCTTGTTTAGTTCATCCTTCGATGCCGTCTTTATCTCCTCAATCGTGGCAAAACGCCGTCCTTTCATGGGCCTCTTCAGTTTTGGGAACAAGAAGTCACATGGGGCCAGATCTGGGGAATACGGTGCCTGTGGCATCGTTACTGTGTTGGTTTTAGCCAAAAATTCGCGCACAAGCAACGATGTGTGAGCAGGGGCGTTATCATGGTGCAAAAGCCAATTTTTATTTTTCCACAAATTCGGACGTTTCTGGCGGATTGCTTCGCGCAAATTGCGCATAACTTGCAGGTAATATTTCTTATTTACTGTTCTACCCTGTGGCAAGAACTCATGATGCACCACGCCCCTGCAGTCAAAGAAAACTGTAAGCAAAACCTTTACATTTGATCGAACTTGGCGTGCTTTTTTTGGTCTTGGTGATCCAGAATGCCTCCACTGGGACGATTGAGTCTTAGTCTCGACGTCATAACCGTATACCCATGTTTCGTCACCTGTTATAACCCTGTTGAATAAATCTGGATCATCGTTGACGTCATTCAGTAGCTCTTGGGCGATGCTCATGCGACGTTTCTTCTGGTCGAAATTGAGCAATTTCGGAACAAACTTGGCTGACACACATCTCATGTCTAAAACACTCGTCAAAATTGATTGGCACGAACCAAATGAGATGCCAATATCATCAGCAATTTCTCTAATGGTAATTCGACGATTTCCCAACACTATTTTCTTCACTTCTTCAACATTCTCATCAGTTGTTGATGTGCTGGGGCGTCCAGAACGAGGTTCGTCGTCGGTGTCTTCTCGGCCTTCTTGGAAGAGTTTATACCACTTGTAAACATATTTTTGGCTTAAAGTAGACTCACCGTATGCCACTTTCAGCATTTCAAGTGTTTTGGAACATTTGATTCCATTTTTCACACAAAATTTAATGCAAACTCTTTGAACCATGTTTTTAGACAGCAGCAAATCGTGGAGCAAGCAAAACACTTCTAACCTTGATGCCTCTCACAAACAAACCAAACATACTACAAAGCTGAAATTTGGAACGTATGTTCTAGACGAGTGTACCGATATAACCAAATAAAAAAGTCGCAGATCGAACGGACGTAGCCCGCTAAATTTCAAAATTCACCTTACTTTTTGATCACACCTCGTACTCAGGAAGCTTTCGGCAACGGATCCGGGTACTCCTAAAAATTTCAAGTTCCAAGCTCGAAACGCCTCCAACGTGTCCGCTGATTTTCAATTAAACCGGTTTCGATAGCAGCGACTCAAACGCTCTTTTGGACTCTGACTGCACTTGACTACATGTCGTTTCAACCGAACTGTACCATGGCTCGGTTCGAAAGCGTCTGAATTCTATGATTCGGACCCACTTTCTCGCTCCCAATACGGGGCGCTGGGGAAAACTTTACTTCTCTACTTCCCACCGTCTGTCGTCCTAGAGAACCAGTCGCTTTCCACTGCACATCTTCAAGTCCAGACATCAAGCTCTGCTCACAAGTGAGCACAAGTTGTCGTCTACAGTCAACAGGTCATCGGCACATTTGGATTGGATCGATCGTTCCTTAAACCATTTTTCGTCGGATACGCAGTGGAACAATTATGACATTGGAGCGTACCTCTAATCTGTTTAGTTTATATATAGTTTATATATATAGTAGTTTATATATACATATATATTATAGCAAGAATGATAGCTTTATTAGGATGATCTTATTTAGTAACATTACCATTGGTATTTTAACACAAAAGACCGATTATAAAATAATATTTATAAAATTATATAATTTGTTTTTCAGAATTCAGTACAGAATTGCTAAACGTGGGGTGGAACTATTAGAAATAGGAGGAAAAATGGTCTATTCAACGTGTTCTTTAAATCCTATCGAAAATGAAGCTGTTTTACATCGACTACTTGCAGAAGCTGAGGGTTCAATTCATTTAGTGGATGGTCAAAACTTCGTACCTGGATTAGTGTACAATCACGGTAACTTATAATATATGGTGTATGTGTGTGTATGTTTATCTTACTTTTTGCTAGTACCAACTCTGAGGCTTGAGATGGATTATAACTCTGCCGCGTTTGTTATGTTGCGTATATGTTGCGTAATTAGAAAGGGATTTCCCCGGTTAACAGGTTAAGTGATTGATTTGTTGAGTACGATGTCGCGCGGTTATATCGACAAACACACGACTTGGGTAAAAATGCTCTATTCAAGTGATTATTTATTAATTTGATATGAGTTTTTCTAGAAATCTTCACTGATTATTAAAAAATCAATGTCTCGCTATAAGTCATTCTAGTGTTAAACGTCCTCGAGTAATCTTCGTCGCTGCTAAAATACAAAGGCAATGTGATTCGATATTGTTTAGAATTGAGTAACCGAACAGAATAATGTCATACTAAATTTTAAATAAATTCAATATAAACACTGTGACGGAGAATCTCGGCTAGGCCGATCTCGTCCGTTTAGCTCTCGCAAATGTCCGTGCGCCGCGCCAGGCTGAGAGTGTGTACGTTTGGCACACACACTCATGCTTGGACCTTTTGTTTACGAGGTGCTGAACACGGGCTGAGCTGACTGCTGGAGCGACGAAGATGGCGCAGAAGAAGAAAGAAAGAGAGAGAGAGAGAGAGAGAGAGAGAGAGAGCGCTCGAATTGCTGATCGCCGCGGAAAATCAGGGAGTCTCTGCTAGGCATTGAGCGGAGAAAGTCGCGCGCGCGGATAAACCGAAAGGTCGCGGTTTTTCCGAGTTGGCCTCGCGACCTCGCCGACGTCTTGTTCATTCCGGAGACACGCCGGGTGCGCGGACGAGTGATAGAGCGTGAGGCTGGGTCGCGCCCAGCCGTGTCCCACAAGATACCCGGCACCGGTGCGTGCGGGTAACCGGCGAGGTGCGCGGGCGAGCGCGCGAGGAACGTGACGTGCTACAACAGCGAGCGGGTTGAGATCGAGGCAGCAATATTGCGGAGCGAGCAAGAGGGCGAGCCAGAGGACAGATAGCGACGACAACAAATGTACCAGCGATACGGTCGGGAACACACCAGTGACGTCACAGTGCAGAGCGCTCCAGCCGTCGGAGAGACTGAAGGTCGAGGTCGGTGCCGCATTTTCCTCTTATCTCTCTCTCTTGCATGTTCGGGCGTCGGTCTATGGTTGGTAGCACAGCAGACCTGCTGGCTACCCGTTAATGGCCTATCACCGAAAAGTATTTTGTCGGGCATTATTGTAACGGTCTAATTTATAAAGAGAATCGGCAGGCTGATCAGCCGCCGATTCACCTTTCGCGTTCGGATTCATTGTTGTGCCGTTCGTAGTGTATAAGCGCGAGATCGCTGTATTGTAACTCATTGTTGACGATTAAAGGATTAGTGTTAATCCGCTGTTGTGTTTATTCGCCGCCGTATCACTCCTCATCCCGACTTCGAATCTGTGCGCTTAACGTGTTTATGCTCGACGCGTTATTCAGTCGTGGGAACGTCTTTTGCTTCCCGAATCCCCGAATAAATAATTTGTGCGGACGGCCGCGAGCAACCCAGACGGGTACGGCCGGAATTCTCCGTTACATGGCATCCCTTGTGGGGAATTCACGACGCGCATAAGATTTTGTGGACGAAGTTCGATTGAGGAGTGACAGTTCTCGGACACGCGATTGAGTCGGATGATCGGGGGATTGTACGGTCGCGATTCGTATGCGTGGGCGCGGTATCGTCGTGAGGACGGGTTTTTCGCCTAGTGTGGTGGTGAACTCCAGTTGGTTGCCTGAGTGCAGGGGAACTTTGAGCTCGCATAGTTGCGTGGTGCAGCCGTTGCGGCGTGCAGTATCTCAGTCGACGGCGGTTGGACGGGCGTGTACGCGGTGAGTGCGCAGGGGGCTGGTTGGGTAACAGTCTGCGCTAGGGTGTGCGCAAGCGGCTCAAGCGCGTGCACAGTAGACTCTGAGCCTGGTTGTCGACTGAGACGTGTCATTGCAGTGCATGGTGACTGGGCATTACTGTACAGGGCCGAGCGGGTACTAGTGGAGTCAGAGGAAGGCCTATCTTGCGGGGTAATAGTTTTTAGGATTTTTTAGGTTGTTTTTCTGGTTTGTGGGTCGGTTGACGCGTTGGGTCCCTTAGAAGACAAATCGAGATGCCGCAAAAGTCAAGAAAGCCGGAGCTTTTTATACGGCACCTGTCGAGACAGCCGGAGCTTCAGCATTTACGGGCACGTATCCTGAAGATGCCGCCACAACAGTTGACCGAGGTGATGCTCCAGGAGGGCTTGAGTACGGAAGGGAAGCTAGTCGTTCTACAGGATCGCTTTTTCCGCACGTTCGTGATGAAGTCGCGACCTGAGACCGGCGCTCCCCTGTACCCCGAGGACTTCTTGTCTGGTCGGTTGCCGGAGTCCATCCACGTTGACGATGAGGATATGGGGACGGATCTGAGCCTGCCCAACGTACTAGAGCAGGCGTTGACGCGTGAGACTCACTCGAATCTCTTGGGAGGTGACGAGCTCTCCTTGTTCCGTCCTTCCGGATGTAAGGGGCTGGAGCACTCGATTCCGATTTCAGGGTCGGTCGACCCACCCGACACCGCACAGCGGGCCTTCGTCGAAAAGGGTGCTGAACGCGAGTCGAACGCATCGGAGGTCGAGAGGAGAAACGAGACGTCCGTGTTTGCCTCGGTCATGCCGCGGGGCAGTGTGGCGGATCCCGGTGTTGGGACTGGAGGCGCGAGACTGTCGAGCCATATTTTGCCGCCGGCCATCGCACAGCTGGACCCAGCAATGGTTGATCAGCTAGTGCTGGTCTTGCAGGCGTTCGGGTTCGGTGCAGGTGGTCGAGCTGTGGCAGGGAATATGGCCCCGGCGGTGCAAGTTCCCACGGTCCCAGGCGCCTCTCGAGTGTCGTCGGCGCGTGCGGGAATCGCATCGCAGCAGGGAGTGAGTCGGCCCAGGCTACCCCAGCTCTCAGGTCCTGACAGACCTTTGCGGAAGCTGGGACGGGGGTCAATGGCTTCAGCGATGAGTGATAGGGAGCGTCGGGCGAGACCAGCAAGAAATTTGGGCCTGCCGGCGTCTTCACTGAATTCGTCTAGTGAGACGAACCAGAGGCGATCACGTCGCAGGCGGAGGCCAGACAGGAGGCAGCGAAATAGGCGCGTGTGCTCTTCAGAGTCGAGCGAGGCGAGTGACCTCAGTTCCTCTAGCGAAGACGAGAGAACATGTGCTCGTTGCCAACGTCAGTCACACCGTGACAATCGAGCGAGATTGAGCTCCAGTGAGTGGCCCCCTCGAGGCGAGAGAAGACGTTTGAATGGGAGACGGGCTGATGCAGTGACTGCGTTCCGTACGTGGAACCTGAGATTCACAGGAACTTCAGGATCATCAGCTGAGCGTTTCTTGGAGCGGTTGGAGCGCTGTATACAAATGTACAGGCTCCCGGATCGCGAAGTGCTCCCAGCTCTGTACGCCATCTTTTCCGATCGCGCAGAGGTGTGGCTGTCCAACAAATTTGGAACGTGGCGCACGTTCCGAGGGTTCGCTTCCAGTTTCCGTCATCATTATTGCCGAACACTGTCTAGGGAGGAATATTACGACGTGCTAGCTCGTCGAACGCAGGGTGAGGATGAATCGATAGGGGATTACCTGACTGCGTTCGAGAGCGTCGTAAGGCGAATGAGGCCCCCTCCGTCAGAGAGAAAACTGATTCGTTTGGCAAAGGCAGGATTGAACCCGGAGTACGGAAGGTACATCCGGGAGAAGACGGTATGCACTCTGCGTGATATAGAATATTACGGAGAGAAGCTGGAGAAGCATCGTGAGTGTGAGAGGAGATGGCATCCTCCTTCTGCTAAGGACAACTTGCCAGTTGAGGACGCTGCTTATCGAGGAAAGGGCAAGAAGAGCCACATGGCAGTCAGTGCCGTGGTTTCCCAAGGAGAGGTGTCTCCAGTGGGGAAGCCGAAGGCTAAGAAGAAGAAGCAAGAGAAGAGGAATGCTTCTGGCACTGCCACATCCGGACGTTCGTCGGGTAGCGACTCGGGAGTGTATCAGTGCGCGGCGAGCAGTTTTATGCAGCCCGTACCAGTACAATTACCGGGTCCTAGCACCGACAGAGACCAGGGAAGATCTGGCAGACATATGCAGGTCACTCAACATCAGAATAGCCCAAGGAATGGACGAGATAGAGCTATTCTTCAGGGTCGATGCTATGGCTGCAATGGAGAGGGCCACAGGATCTCGGAATGCTCTGGTTCTGATCGAGGACAGGCTGGCCGGACACAGGGAAACTCAATTTGTTTCCGGTGTCGTCAACCGGGACATTATGCTTCGAGTTGTCCTCTGAGTCGGTCGAGAGAGTCATGCCAGAACTGCCAGGCGCCGAACTGTACGTTTCGCACCTGTGCGAACTGCGAGCCGATCCGTAGGTTAGCTGAAAACCGGTCCACAGGGAGTGGAAGTCCAACGCTCTCTGCGGTAACTTGCAGTAGGCTGCAGGGTTCGGGCACGACGAGCTCGACCTAAGGGCGTGAGACCAGGAAACGCGTGGGATTGTTCGGAGTGCCATAGGCGCCACTCGTATGAGGCAGTGCCCGCGAGCGGTTTCTCGCAATGGGTTGCCCATCGAGGAAGGTGCCGGGCCAATCCGAAGAAGCGACGTTTCTCTCTTGGGGTTGTTGTTTTCGTGTTGTAAGGTCGTCTGGTTTTGGTTTTAGTTTTAGTCCTGGGTTTTGCTTTTGGTTGTGGGTTTTAATTATTTTATTATACCGCTACCAGACAGTTCACTCGTGGCCAGCAGAAAAGGCCCAGCCATGGCGAGGCGCCCGGACGGCGAGAGCGGGAGACAGCCCCCGACCCTATGGAAAGGATCGGTTGCTTCGGGGGGGCTGTGACGGAGAATCTCGGCTAGGCCGATCTCGTCCGTTTAGCTCTCGCAAATGTCCGTGCGCCGCGCCAGGCTGAGAGTGTGTACGTTTGGCACACACACTCATGCTTGGA